ATGGGAAATGTAACCATCAAAATCTTAAAGGACATTCCATTTGAAATTAGACAAAAGAGGAAAAATTATAAGGACTTAATTTCTTTCCTTCAAACTAATGGGATATCGTACAGATGGGCGGTGCCAGAGGGTGTCATCTTTACGATCTACGATAGAAGAGAGAAGATAGACTCCACTTTTAAAGCTAAAGATTTTTTGAGACGTCAGCTGGGGACAGATGAAGAGTTCAAAAAGGAAGAAACGAATTCTAGTGACTCTGCTACCTCTGGAACAGAAGATGACTCTACGGCAGAAAAGGGTGCAGGACCTGCCAGAGTAGTATACGATTTCAGAGACAGAAAGCCGAAGTAAAGGCAGAAGGACTTGGAAAATGGCCTTTTGAAGCGAAGAATAAGAAGATGATCACAGATTTTTCTCATAACAACTAATAAAATAACATATAAATAGTGAATTGTTATAAGCAAGAACTCTACAAGTATATTGTGACATTAACACTTATGGTACTAACATTTTTACTAACAGTGAAAAGATCTCCTCCTCTTGGGGTTTTAGTTTAGTGTGGTTTGCTTTCCTTTATCCTTAGTTGTAGTCCCTTTCCTAATATAGTATTTGCAAAATAAAAAAAATATCCCTCCAGGGATTTAAAAAAAGAAAAAAAGAAAAAAAAGAAAACAGATATTCCAAAGCAAGGGGGGGGACCAGGTTGATTGCTGAGAAAATGTGGAGCGAATGCCAGATGCAGAATGGACCTATGTACATCTATGAAATGTAGAGCTCTTCCCCTTTAATCTTGTGGTTGTGGGTAAAGCACTGGTAGGATGATGTCTTAATTTAAATGGAATTTTGACATTACTTCAGGAAGAATACTACTCTAGTGTTGAAAACTTTTAGAAGTAGGGTCATGTCATAGCACCTGGAGTTCATTCTCCCTTCTCGCTGACAAGATGGCAATCAAGAGCACCGTTTTCATTGTGAGTAGACAGAGGGAACAGGTTGCCATAGGCTTGAATTGTTTACCCATGAGCTTTGAAAGCACAAGTGACAGCCTCCACTGTGGAACTGGAGGCTTGACTGGGTAAAATTAATTTAGTAACCCCTTAAGGAATAGTTTGGATTTCCTTTGGGCAAACAGGGATCTCCCCTTATCTCAGATTTAGGATCCACCTTTATGTCTGGCCTGATTCAGAATGTTTTTGATATTGCAAAGACTGAACATAGAGTGAGTCTTGCATATTGCCACTGGAGTAATTGACTGGTAGAAAGACTGAATAAAACCATTGGTCAAATGTTGAAGAAATATGCTCTTGCTCATAGTAGTGACTGGGACCAAAACCTTCTATTCTATTCTTGATGCATGCTTATCACGACACTGTGCACGAGTTTGGGCTATTATCCTAATGAATTGGTTTGAGAAATCCCCTGAGTTTGTTAAAACAACAATGGGAAAGAATTTTGGAACCTAGATTTCTTTCTGTGAACAAATATGTGCAAAACCTGCATAACACTTTAAGTGATGTTTCGCAAGCTGCTCAGAAAACCCTGAAAGCAGCCCAAATGACTAAGAAATATTTATATGACAGGAAAACTGTAGAAATAAAATTGTTCTCCTGAAGATAAAGTACTGATCCTGAGAGGTGTTAAGCTGCATAAAATGAGTATTATGTGGGTTGGTCCTGGAGAGACTGTTAAACAAATCAGCGCTGTCAATTATCTTGTTTCTTATCCAGAAGAATATCCCAAGCCTAAAAACTATCATGTGAATTCTTTGAAAAAATATTATGAACACATGCTTGAAATGTTTGCTGTGAGATGTGACACTGACTCTCTTGATCAACCTGTAGACCTTTTAGCTGAATGCCAACAGGAGGGAGGAATTGAGGACATTATTTTGAATCCTGGTCTTGACAGAAGTCAAGCTACTCAGTTGTATGCTGTACCAGCCTGGCTGTACACATTTAGCCACTCATAACATAAATACAGGTTTTGACACTCTCCACCAGATCTGGAAGGCATCCCCCAAGGGGCTTGGGAACAAAATAGTTTGCATTTTTTGTTTTGTTTGGTAGCAAATAAGTCTTTTGCTTGTATTTCCCAATGTCTAAATACTGGAGAAAAGCCAAGCTGAGTTGCCATTTGTGAGGTGCTAAGGAAGTGCAGCTAAGGAAATCCACTAGCTGATTGTCGGTTCTGGCTATGTGCATGGGTTGGATAGAGGTGCTGTTGTCAACGGCCCATCCCCAAATTAAGTGTGGAGAGGGGACAGAGCATTGGTAAAGATGTACCACACAGTTTGTTTATATAAAACATGGCTGTGATGTTGCCTGTAGCAATTTGTATGCTTTTCTCCAACACTTGAGAATTTAAAGCTAGCAAAATGTTGAAAATTGCCTTGTGTTCTAACATGTTGATATAATGGGAGTGTTTCTTGTGTGGACCATGTCCTACTGACTGATACTTACCCAGCCTAACAGGGAGGTGTCTGTGGTGAGTATGATTTACGGTGAGGGTGTGTGGAAGGGGACCCCTATCAGAAAGTTGATGCTTAAGTTTCTACCAGTGGAGGGAGCATACAACTGGTCTCAGGATGTTTAGCTTCTTTGATAGGTGACAGCAAATGGGACTGAATGCCCTGATGAACCATAACTGCCGGAACCCATACATAGTCTTGGATCCAGGTGGCCAAATCAATCATGACAAGGCCATCTTCTAGGCTAAAATAAGTTGGAAGAAAGAGGAGGTTTTGCAGGTGCATTACTTTGCTTCTCCAGTAGTAGTGCTGTGTCTAGTATAACTGAGTCAGCAAGGGTCAGGTGAACCACATCAAAAGTGGGAAGCACAATGTCCTTTAAGGCCTTAGGCTTTCCAGCCAGCACTACCTCTGTCTTGTCAAGGTTCAGTTCAATTTATTAACTCTCAGCCATTTCATCATGTCAGTTAGGCAGTGGTTCAAGACCTATACTGCATCCCCTAGATATCTGGACAGAGAGATATAAACCTGGGTGCTGTCAGCATAGAAGATCTAACACGCCGTCTCCATTGGGTATAAATATCATGGGAGTATCACCTGGAACTGTGCAGACTCCACCCTGGACATATGAGATCAGTAATTGATTGAGCACCATTGTTTTAGTGTCAATGTTTTTAATATGTTTTATATGTTTTTAACTATGGCACGGTTAATTACCCTGCCCCTGTTACCCGCCCTGAGCCCATTGGAGAGGGCAGGATACAAATGTGAAAAATAAATAAATAAATAAATAAATATTGATTAAATCCAATACCACAACTACAAATGATCTCTCCTAAGTGTTTTACATAGAGAAAGAATAACATAAGCTGTACCTCAGCCTAGAGTTGCCAGCTCTGGGTTAGGAAATACCTGGAGATTTTGGGTGTGGAGCCTGAGGAGAGCAGGGTTTGGGGAAGGGAGGGACTTCAATGGAGTATAATGCCATAGAGTCCACCTTCCAAAGCAGCCATTTTCTCCAGGTGAACTGATCTTTGTCACCTGGAAATCAGTTATAATACCAGGAGACCTTCAGCTGCAATCTGGAAACTGGCAACCCTACCTCAGCCTGATGTTCATCTCTGCTGTACTAATCATATCATATCCCCCTCGGCCACTGGTGGGGGATATGGGGGAAGGGTTGCCAGTGTTCCCTCTAAGCTGAGTTAGTGTGAGCTAGCTCACAGTTTTTTAGCCTCTGGCTCACACATGGTTTGTCTTAGTTCAGGAAGGATGGTTCCAGAGCAAACTAATTTATGCAGTAGCCAAATCGTTTGCTCACAGCTTTAATGCCAATAGCTCAAAAAGCAGAATTTTTGCTCACAAGACTCCACAGCTTAGAGAGAGCATTGCTGGCATGGTGGCGGCTACAAGCATGGACGGCTTCAAAAGGGAATTAGGTAAGCATATGGAGCAGAGGTCCATCAGTGGCTATTAGCCACAAGGTATAGATAGGGGCTCTGGGGCAAGTGATGCTCTGTCTTCTTGGTGCTGGGGGGGGGGGTCAACAGTGGGAGGGCTTCTAATGTCCTGGCCCTACTGGTGGACCTCCTGATGGCACTGGTATTTCTGGCCACTGTGTGACACAGAGTGTTGGACTGGATGGGCCTTTGGCCTGATCCAACATTGGTGTCTCTTATGTTCTTATGTTCTTATGTTCATCCCTATTGAACACGTTCCAGATTGCTTTTCAAGATGCCTATGTAACCAGCCTCCTGCGTCCTGAACCCAGGGTGGTCTTTCCCGAGAGAGACACCCCCAAAAAACAACGCTGAACCTCCACACAGTGCCCAAAAAAGCCAGGCTTGGCTTAAATAGTGGCTTTTGCTGGGAGGCAAGGAGAACTACATCTTGGCTGGGAAAACTTAGGCCAAGTGAAGATTCTCCAGGCTGGTCTGTGCTACTGTCATGAATGAAGAAAGCTGCATGTTTCCAGCCCTAACATATCATTAAAACAACTTAGAAACAGAGTTAAAGTATGTGCAGACATAAAAACAGCAATTAAAACATTGGTCAGGAAGGAAGAATACTGAGGGAATGCCAAACAAAACAAAAAACGTCTTCACCTGCTGGTGGGAGATGGCAACAGAAGGGGATGGACAAATATGTGGGTCTCAGGTGATGACTGGACTTTAACTGAAAGAACCAGAACTCTAAACTGAGTTCAAAAATAAAGCTATTTTACAGCAAGCATTACATATTCATGTTGATATGCTCCAGGCAAAAGATAGGCAGCTGCATTTTGCTAGATTATTTCTTATCAATTATATAAGCTGATCTATTATCTAATAGCTCATCCTCTATTAAATCAAAAAGCTGTAACTTCACACCATAGTCAACTGGGGCCTTTTCTTTGATCTGCAATAGCAGTTCATGTCGTATATTATTTGTATGACTTTGTCAGTTGTTTATTACTGCCCAGCTAGGAAAGGCTTTTAAAGATACAATCACCATGAGATTCAATTTTGCTGTGTCACGTTATCATCTTACTTACTCCTGTCTTCTCGTCAAAGATTTTGATTCCTCCAAAAGATATGGTTAGAAATATTTTCTGCTTGTGTTCCCCTTTTGAACGAGCTGCAGCCACAATTCCCTGTTGGGAGAAATGGTTCAGATTCAAAATAATTCATTTTTTGTTTCTACTCACTGTTTATGCACATTAGCAAGAAGAATATTTCTCTTTTAAAAATTGAGGATTTTCAGCTTTCCATTGCTTCTGATGTGGGCTGCAAGCAGCATACTGTTCTAGAACACTGGTTTCCATATGCAGAGCAGCTTTAATTTTAGTTTTTAAAAAGGCCATCTAGCTACAAGCAACATAATTCAGGATTCAGTTGAAAACATTGAGTTCTGAAGCAATCAAAACCCACTGTAATGATGGAGCTGCCAATTAGCAGTATGCTTGACTAAGGTCCCAGTCACACCGGCGGGAAAAGCCGTGCTGGAAGTGCGGCTTCTTAGAGCCGCACCAAAGGAAAGCGCAGCATTGGGATCAGATGCTTTCCCCGAGCCGCCGTGCATATTCTGTCCGGCGCAATCACATGGCTGGGGGAAGCGAGGCAAATATGGGCGAGCCGAGATTGCTGGAGTATTCGTGCGCATGCGCAGTCCGGCAGTCCCTCAAATAACATGGACTGCCGGCGCGTCCACGATCCCATGCCCGGCCTTGCTGCGGATCTTCCGGTAGGTACTACATTTTCCCTAGTACCCTTTTGATCCGTGTTTTCAGCTGGAAGGAACGGGTTGGGGGCGGGTGCACAATGCTTGCCAGATGTTGGCATCTGATCATGTCGGTTTAATCCGCCTCAACCCGTCTGTTTCGCGGGGCAAATCCTCCCGTGTGACCGGGGCCTAAGAATACCTGTTTTATTTTACTGCCGTGCTCCTGATAATACAGGAGAGGGGAAAACCTTCCTTGCCAGGAAAGTGCTACTTATGAAATTGATGAAATGAGGAAGTACAGAATCCATAGCCTTCATATCCTCTGACACATGTCCCTTCCCATACTAACTTTCTAATAGGCACCTTTAGGGCTTTCCTGCATGCTCAATTTAATCCTGATTTTCTTGGCAGTCAATCCTCAAGCAGAATTTTCTTGCCTACCTCATCTACAAACATCTACATACACAAGAAAATAAATGATAGAGAGGATATTTCTAGTTTAATCTTGCTGATATGATAGTTTTCCATGTGTGGGTTTTCTCACCAGCATATGACTTCTCAATTTAAATCTGAAGTAGTATATTGCAAGGACAGTTTTTCCATATGATCTGATGTTTTGTAAAGAAAAATGCTGAAAAGGGAACGTATTGTTATCAAGTTGAAAACAGTGCATATCCTCTTTTACTGTGTGTAGTTAATGCCCAAGTGTCCCAATGAATCTATATTGTACTAGACCTGTGACTGTGAAGCCTTTAATGCCGATTATCTGTAACTTAATGGGTACAAATATTCCAACTTCTCAGTAAACTCATCATAATGTTTGCAGTCCAGTTTTTGTAAGGGATATGAAAGTTATCCATTTGGCTGCTAAGTTACCAGTTTGGCCATACCCCGTTCCTAGCTTTAAGGCATAGAGAGCCACACCAGTGACAAAGAGAATTCAGTATACAAAGAGGAGAATCTATTGAGCTTTGCCCGTATCTCCTTAAATCTCAATACTGTCAGTGTCAATCTGTCCTCTTTGAAAGATAAGGTTTTTAATGTTTGAGAAGGGATATGGAGAATTGCAGGGATGGGGATTGTATTTAATTTACATGTTTTCTTGCAAGTACACATTTTTTTAAAAAAAAATTAAATAGTTGGAAGAGAAGCTCATAACATGTGTATAAATTGTATACATAGAGATAAGTCAATTTCTACTGTGGTTCTTAAGACTTTTCAAGGAAACAACACAACTAGATGTGGTGTGTGTGTGTATGTGTGTATATATATATCCCCCTATGTGGTCAGGGACCAACATATCTGCGGGACTCTCTCTCTCAATATGTCCCTGAAAAGCTTTACGCTTGGTAGAACATCACTTACTGGTAATCTCCGGCCCTAGAGACATCCACTTAGCCTTGACCAGAGCCAGAGCTTTTTCAGCTTTGGCTCTGGCCTGCTGGAACAAGCTCCCAATTGAGATCAGGGCCATGTGGGACTTACTACAATTCCGCAGGGCCTGTAAAACAGAGCTGTTCCACCAGGCCTTTGTTCGAGGTGGTGGATGCCTCACTATATCTGGCCACTCTGCTCTAACCAGCCTAGGCTGACAGTTATATCAACATATCACAGATAGGGGGCGGGGATGAACTATCATTTGAATGGCCCTCTTGTGAGTCACACACAGTATATCCCCGAGGTTTATTTATTACCATCTTGCCATCATGTAGTTTAGTTGGTTTTTTGGCTTTAACTGAAATTTATATGGAACTGTTTTATATGTTTTCATTGGTACCTTGTAACTCACCCTGAGCCCACCTTTGGGGGAGGGCAGGATAAAAAATCCCATAAAATTGATAAATAAAATATCTATTTATGCATTTTAATTTTGCTTTTGTCCCCAAGTGGAATCTAAAATCTACCTACAAAAAATACAGTTTAAAAACAAACGCTGCTTAAACAAACAGAACATAAACAACATTCCATATTCTGGGCTGATTCTGAATTCACTGGGTCACACAAAGCTCTTAAATATGAACCCTTTGGGTTTCACCAAAAGGTTTGTACTTCTGGCCATACTCAATGTAATACTTATGAGTCCCAATCATATGATTAATTGAGAGCTTCTCTCATAATTTACTTCCCTAAAGACGGAGGTTCTGCATGCTTTCATTGTTTCACACATCCCCCAACACATCTAGTCATTCGTGTGTTATTTTAAAGTTGGAAGTAATTGTGTTCTTCTCACTGAATTTTCTTTGTTTACCCTCTCAGGAATGGGATGGGTCCATGAAATTTATTGTTCTCTTCAGAACAAAAGGGAAGCACACATTTTCAGACATGTCATCTGACAAGGTGTAACGGATATCGGCTTGGGCTCTTGATTGATGCATGACTAACAGCACACTCTTATGTACAGTTACACCCTTCTAAGTCCACTAGCTTCAGTGGATTTAGAAGAGTGTAACTGTGCTTAGGATTGCAAAGTAAGGCTGACTGATGTACTTTTTAAAAACACCATACAACTCAACTCCACCCCACCCACCCCCGCCTAGTAATGTAAACTGGATGTTGGGAACACTGCAACACATTGGTTGGGTTATCCAGCTTCTATGAGTGAAACAAATATAAGACGTAAAAGAGCTATGAGATCTTTATCCCATTTTTATTTTACAGGGCAAGACAGGGGAATCCTTATGAAATGAAAGATTAGATAGAAAAGATTATTCTGTGATATGGTTACCAGCTTTGGCTCCAGGTTTTCTCGGACACAAGGGTTTAGAAAAGTCCCATGAGTAGAGGGATTAGCTTGGTGAGAGGAGCTACAGTAAAAAGCCTTTGATTCTCTGGTGAAAATCACATCCCTAAAGGCGCTGTTCCCTGAAAAGGGTAATTGGTATTTTGGTACATGCATTTTGGATTCTAAGATGGCTTTTAAAAAAGAATTAAAATTCACAGAGGATACATCTTGGAAAGGCTATTATTCATGAATGTTAAATGGAACCTCCAACACTAAAGGTCAAAATACTAGTGCCTAGAACAGGCAACAGGAAACAGCTGTTTCCTTTTTTCCCTTGTTTGCAAGTTTCCAATTAGCACCTGGCAGGTTACCACTGCAAACAGAATGCTAAAGTAGTGGACATTTAGTTCTAAATCTTTTTGTAACTATTTTCAATTTTTCATAACTAAATTTCATTACGGGGTACCCAACAGGAGAAAGAGATGGCTAGGAAAGGGAGCAGATGAGCTTAGACAATGATTTCCACTTTGTGGTCATGAAAATTTCTCCTGGTGTGTGATTCATTGTCCTTTAAACACCAACCTAGACAGCCAAGTGAATCAGTGTGACTGAAAGCCCTGTGTGAGTTAAATAAAAGTTGGTTTCAATACCAAACAGAGATCTAATTAACTTACTGTTTGGGTTAAACGAACAGGTGGCAAACACATTTTGGAAAGATCTATACTGTTATTTCTACATTTTCTTGCAATTTCAAACTAGACATCAACTAAAAGTGTGCAAAAATCTTTGAATCAGATTCAGCATGTGCCTTTTCTGTGACTGGACTCTATGGAATACAGAAGCAGAAAAAAACTGAACATCTTGTCTTGACAATGTTCATTTGCTTGTTTGTCTATTTTCTTTTGAGTGGGTGGACTGCTTTTTGGAGACGTGTTGCCGGAGATCATATTATTTAAATGCAATGATATACAACTATCACCTAGTAATTTGCAAACTGTTTTGCATACATCTATTAGTATTTACTGCACTCCTATGAGAAGACCCATACTTAGGACAGGGACCTAGCACTCAGGTGGCGACTTATCTCTCACAGTTGCAAAAAAAGAAAGTGTTTAGCATTTCAGATTTTATGTCCCACAACCAGACAACTAGCCCATATTGCCAAAATCAATATGCCACAGGTAGTGCTTCAACAGAAGGACATGAATATTAAAAAGAAAATAAATAATATTCTCATAACCTACAGAGCAGGATCAACAACAGCTATTTCAATTTGTGACACCACCTGTTTCTCGTGGTTCTAGTCACATCATAACATCACACAAGCAAGTCTCTCATTTATGTTAACAAGAATCAAACATCTTGGAGGAGATATGGAAATTGAGATCCTTGGGGAAAGAGACAAAATGGCCAGCCTAGCCTTGTTAACATCCCAAAGTCTCCCAAACCACTTGTTGGCAGATGGAATCAAGGATTGAAAGAAAAAAAAAACACTACATGCAGATAAATCTTATGGCTGTAGCACATGTTTCCTAGAGGTGTTAAGAGCCTGGCCTTTAAAAATGGATTCTTCTTCCGTCACTCAATTACTTAAAATCCTGGTGTCAAAGACAAGAGCAGAGCTAGTAAAAGAAGTCTGTAAAACTGTCTCCAAACACAGGATGTATTTTTATACTATCACAATAAAATATTTTACACAAAGAATGCAGAAGGATAAACAGGTTACAGGAATCCCCACACATACGAGTCCATCCCCACCCTCACAATACAGACATGGCTGATCCTCCACTGTTCTCAGTGTGTTAAGTAACAATACAGGCCCTTTCACATACACTATAAATGACAGGTGCATAAAAGCTATGGGTGTAACCAGGGCTTTTTTTTGTAGAAACAGCCCAGCAGGAACTCATTAGCATATTAGGCCACACCCCTGACAGCACAGCTCATTAGCATATTAGGTCACACCCCGTGCATTCCCCTTGGGTTGCCTGGGCGCCCCGCGGCAAGCCGGCCCTTGGACAGGCCGGGGAAGGCACAGGGAGGCATTTAAATGCCTCCCTGATCCTTCCAGGCCCCCCCTGGCCTGCCCACCTCGGAGTTGCTGGGGGGTCATTCTCCAGGCCTTCCCTCTGTAGCCATGCACGCAGAGGTTTTGGCTGTAGTGGGCATGGCCAACTCTGAAGCCAGCTGGAACTTCGTTCCTGTGTGTTCCTGCCCCAAAATAGCCCTGGGTGTAACTCAATTTATTGCTGAAAGAAGTGAAGGCCCTTGGCTTAAAATGGCCAATGTGTAAGGATAAGCCTGCCATCAGATTGCAGTGAGTGAGAAGAACACAGAAGACATTGGCTTGTCTCTTTCTTTTCACTAACAAAACCACATGTCTCTTTCCTACCCTATATTTACAGGACCTCCTTATTTTACTTCTCATATCTAACATGCCTACTGAGTATGAGCAAAGCCAGAGGGTATTTTTATGGGGTTTTTTTCTCCTTTACAAAAATCAGCTCTACATTCAGGGGCAATTGTATTCCACAGAAGAGCTCACAAACATATTCAGATTCACAAACATTTGGCTGCTATGTCCTCCCATACACTCAGAAAGTCTGTAGTCACCCTGTACCTGGCATCCAGCAGTGGGTCAATGGTGAGTTAGTTTGTAGCCCAAAATACAGCAGCGGCTACCCTGCCACTCCCCCCTCATCAAATTACCCTTCATCCTAGCCAATCAGATTTGGCTTTGATGACATTAATGTGGGAAAATGAAGCTTATTTAGTGTGAAGGTAAACATTGGAAATAGACATTGTTCCCATTCTAAATTAACTTCATTTGCTCTCACTGATGTAATTGTGTAACCAAACCTGATTGGCTATATGGCAATATCATTCTTAAGTGGAAGATGACAGGCAGTTTTTTAAAAATGGCTCTGAAGCAGCAGCCAGCCAGTGACTCCACCAAACTAGCTTTTGGAGGTCTTCCAGATAATGTATTGGTTCAGCCCTAGTAAACAACAATCTTATTCAATGCCATTAAAAATAATAATTTTAAAATTTACTTTCCCTTTGGATCCAATATAATTTAAATTTAAAAGTTTCACAGGACCTTTAATTTCATCATGGAATCTTGGCATAACTTGTCGCCTCGTGCTGCAGAAACCTCGTCTATCCCAATCAGTTTTGCTTTGTATCGAACACCGTCGCCTTTAAACCTTTTTATTAAAGTGGCTTCGCTGCGATCCTGACCTGAAAAGACAGAGGTGCAAATTTGAAATCCACATAATTGTACAAAAATATCTAAAAGCTAAAAGCTTATGGGCGAGTTTAAAATTAAAGATTATTAATCTGTTTTACTATTTAAATATTTTAATCAAAGTTCATACGGATGATGAGACAAAGTCCTGCAAAACATAATCCATATTCTGGAAGCCAATTTTCAATAGAACTTGAATGGGAGAGAGAAGGCCCACCATTACTGTACAATGTGCTTAAGCAATAGCTCCAATATACTAGCTGGGAAAAAGGGGGAGGAATCTAGTAGCCACGCCACTAACACAAAGGCAATACCTACTGCCATTCAATAAGAGGGCACTCAATTATTTAAACAAAATACAGGGCCACTTCACTGGAAGTGGCTTTTAGTGCTTATGTACAATTTTGGAAATAACACTACATTTGATACTTTTCAACAGTATCAATTTTTGGGTCCTCTAGTAAATTAACACTTAATTTCTCTAGTATGTCTTCAAAGTTATTGTTATTATTATTATTCATGATTTTATTGTTTTATCTGGTTTTATGTATGGGCTCATGCCCCTTGTAAACCGCCCTGAGCCCGTTCACGGGGAGGGCGGGGTAAAAATGCCTAAGTAAATTTTACAAAATATTTAAAAAGTTCAGGCTCCCAGAACTTTCTTAATCTTGAGAGCTGATCCACAGAAAATCTAAGGACACATTTATACAACTAAAGATCAGATATTCTTATCTCAGAGTTATTACTCTTGTCTTGAGGTGCCAATACCTCAAGAGATCACTTTGATTCTAAATGGAACAGTGAAATCCTTTCATAACAGGTAACAACCTTAATTTGCCTCATGACTATTTGACTGCAGCCACACAAACAGTTTAGTTGTGGTACTTTTGCGGATTTAAAGAGCACGATCAGGCCACAAGTACTGCCATCCCATTCTGCCCTGCTTTGGAAGTAATCAGGCACCAGGGAAAGTCCAGTGTTTATGGATATCAGTGCTATCACCCCGCATTTCCCGATGTCTGAACTCACCTGGTGCAAGCTCAACCAATTTGGGAAGTCTGATTGCTCTGTTCTGTTTTCACTCTTTGGGGTTTTTTAGTCAGTTAGCAATATGTGCATAACCACATCTTTGTGCATACCAACAAACTTTCAGCTGTCCTCTAAGGCGAGAAGGGGGGGAGGGAAGGGCAGGCTGAGAAGCCTCCTTTGTCTTTTTTCCTGCTGGTTCGTCTGCCTACAACTTTGCAGCACACAGAGTGAGGAAGGGGTTAATTGAAAAGATGAGGTTTTTTTCAGAGGGGGAGGCAGCCTTCTCCAGCTGTCAAAATGGAGCAGTGCTTCTAATGTGGTTATGTGCATATGCAAAAGACAATTTAAAAAAAGAAGCCACCCGATCACCCACTCCGTGGTTGCTGTGCAGCAATAATCTGAACAGTTGACCATGGGGCAAGAACACAGTGAGGTTAAAACTCTCCATTACAAATTGCAATGGAGTACTTAAGAGCCAGGGCCAGACTGTGCCAACCCTGCAGTCTGACCACAGCCTTTATCTCAAGGTGAATATGGAAACAAAGCCATAATAACGCAATAATGCAAAACCAAAGCTCTGTGATCACAAGCATGGTAACATCTCATGTAATCAAGACTTAATTTTATTAAACTAATCTTAATGTTTTAGATCAGGGGTGTCAAATGTGTGATCCACAAGCTGGATTCGGCCCACAAAGGGCTCAGAACTGGCTCCCCAAGCAACTTCCTTCTCCAAGGCTTCCTTTCCAAGGCTACTACTACAGCTGCACCCTAGTTGCTTTTCCCCCCAACTCCCTCAGTGGCTCTTTACTTCCTGCTTCCTGTTTCCTTCCTCTTGTCTCCCTCCTCCCCTCACAGAGAGAGAGAGCTTCATGGCTGCTTCATGTGGGAAAGATACAAAGACAAGCCACTCACTCACTCACCCACCCAGCTTCTGCTTCCTTCTCCGAGGCTGCTCCTCCTTTTTTTTGAGTCCCATGACAGCTTTAAGACCAGCAATGTTTTATTCCAGATATAAGCTTCTTGGGAGAGAGGGTGGGTGGATTATTCTGACAAGCACAATGTATATTGAAGGAATTATTTTGGCTTATTCTGAAAAGTTGTTTTTTTAAAAAAATGGATTTCTCTGTTCCTATTTTATTTCAAAAAGACCCTGATTAGGAATTAGAACACTTGGACTGGTCCCTATATCTTGGAGAGTGGAGTGATTTCAGATGCCAAATGATAATAGCACACATTGGTACTGAGACAGGAAAACTAGGTCTCAGTTCAGTCCAAGAGGTTGCATTGTCTTGATCTTCATTATCAATTGAAATTCAACAGTCTTTCTTTCTGATCTCCCTTTGAAATTCCTCTGTAAGAGCACTGCTGCTCTTAGGTCAGCAACTGAATGTTGTTGTTTCTAATGTCAGACTTATGTCCATTTATTCTTTGCATCCTCCTGGACTGAATCCTCCTGGAAGGAGTTGAGACCTAGGTTTCCTGTCTCATTATCAACACTGGTATCTCCATACCTACGACCACTCTGCATATTACACCTAATTCAATCAAGCCTACTATTGTCATTCACCTGCTATTGCCATTCAACATATGAAATCACCTTTATAAAGTTTATATCTCTGGTATGTTGTGCTATATTTTATAGCATGCATGGCCTGGCCCAACAAAATTACATTTATGTCAGATCTGGCCCTCATAACAAATGAGTTCGGCACCTCTGTTTTAGATTAATGGGAACCCTTCTTCACACACTTGTAGAATGCAAAATAGTTACTGCAGAAAATCTTAAGTATGAACGTAACACAGCATGGTCTACAATTAACATCTGTGATCTGACTCTTCCAGATCTTTGTGGCATTCAAAATTACTTAGTTGATTAAAATTAATTCCATTTTTTTCTGTAGGCCCATGTAACTTCTACATGTATAGATACAAATAAATATTAATATTTAGAATTAAGACTTTAAAAGGTGCAGGGCTTAAACCAGTGAATGAGACTCTTTATAGAATTGTTCAAAGTTTAAAATAATCAGAAGTTTATCTTTTAAATAAGAAAGGTTCTTTTCATATGTCACAATGTATTTTCTGAATTTCCCCACCATAAAGAGTTCAATTAGCGGAAAATGGTTGTAGAATAAATAAATGTCGAACAAAATTGGCGATAGGAAGTAAGCAAGTAGTGACAGCAGAAAAAGTCTGAGGAAAAGCACAGGATTTACTTAATTAATTAATTTAAAACATTTATTAGCCACCTTTCTACTTGGAACTCAAGACAATTTACAATGTAAATAATAACAAAACACAATAAAATGCATGAAAATCTCTAGCTAAAACCACCAGTGGGTAGGCAGAAGAACTAATCAAATGCAGTCATGAATAAATCTGTCTTCAGCTGCCTCCTAAAGATCCACAGTGAGGATCAGACCACATGAAACACTGTTAACAGCAGCTACAGCAGGACTTGATTAAGTTTGCGATTGTGGAGGGGGGTTAACACACCTCCTCCTGACTTTTTCCTTACCTCCTGCATCCCCTAAGAGCTCTGTAAATTTCAGCTAAGAGCTACAGTGGGGCAACGTACAAGCACATATTGACCTCTACATTTGCCCCTTTGGGACAAATAGTAGCTCTGAGGGGGACTGTCTGAAATGAAGAAAATGGCAGGGGAACAAATTAATCCTGCTCCCCTTGGGGTCCCAGTCAGTACCAGGATGCCCATCACTGCTATTTACAAGAATATTCCATTTATGGATCTGGAATCCTTCCAAATGACCCCCCCCCAATCAATACTGTCCTTCTGCTTCCTTTCAGAAAGCTGAGATTGGTGCATAATTTTGTGGTACTCAAAATATTTTATAATCCTGGTCTTCTGGTTTTGGCGACTTGAGGCTCGGACACGTCCCATCGAGTTTCTGATGGAGATGCGCCAAGTCATGGCAGACAGGAGGGGCCCTGGATGGGTCTGGCCCCCCTGAAGTCCTTGTAGGGGACTCCCAGCCTAGGGTGCAGAGGAGAGCCTCTTCTGAGGTGATGGCTGAGGGATCAAGGCTTTCCCTACCCCGAGAGATCCTGCTGCAGTGAAGCTATCATGGTGACAAAAGCTGGCTGCCAGACAAGTGGACAAGTGATCTAGCGCGACCACTCTCCTGCAATAACTTGATCGCAAAAAAACAGTGAGTTAAGCAATCCCCTATGCAAGCAGCTAAGTCCTTAAATCCAATGGCTTTAACACAAGAAATAAGTGGCGGGTGGGGGGAGAGCTGGGGATACACACACCCCCTGAAACTGAACAGTCCTAGAATGACAAAGAAAAGGAAATAAGCGGAACTAACCATGTGAGACTGTAATTGTGACTGAAAGGTGCAAACTAACCCAAAGCGTATCTAGATCAGAGAACTTTGACTTTAAATCCAAAAACTTTCTTCTTGTATAAACAATGTCTGGTAGAGGGAGAAGAATGGCGTCGGAAAAGAAACCTCTCACAGGACATACTATACCAACGACTCCCACCCAGACACAGGAAGCAGCTGCTGACTTTCCCAATATGGTAGCTATGGCATTGCGCCCCCTGCTGGAGCAGATGTCTAATATCAACAGTAAGCTGGATGGAGTCCAAAAGCAACTGACACAGATGGATAAAAGAGCAGATAAAACTGACAGAGCCATCAAGAAAGTTGAAACAAAGGCAAAAGATATTGAACAAAAATTGGGGGAAGTGGAAAAAGAGAGAGCTTCAGATAAAGGCCAATTGTTGCAACTTCAAATGGAAAGATCAATGTATGTCTTGCATTTTCAAGGTAATTCTGAGCAAAAAACAGAAGATTTGAAAGTAATTTTAAGTGAAGCATTAGCATCAATGACAGATCTTAAACAAGATGCGCTGCAAAATGATATAGATTTGGCTTATTGAACTTATCCAGATTTTATTTAAAAAACAAATTGCCTGGAGAAATATATGTGAAAT